CGTCGAGACTGCCTAGCGTCCATGGCGTCCGCGAACTCGCGAAACGCGCGACGCGCCTCGGTACTTGTGAGCTCGTCCAAGTACTGGTGGCGCGCCGTGAGCCACGCACGGAACTCACGCGCACGCGCATAATAGTCGTCCATGTGCAGGCGCGGCGCCTCGTGCGGACGCGCGCGGCGGGGCCGCGCCTCGCCGCGGCAGCGCTCCGCGGCCGTGTCGCGCATCGATCGCCGGTGGAGGGACGGACGCTAAGAGCTACGGGGCGGCGCGCTCCACCAGCGGCGAGGGACGCGGGTCGGGCGACATGCCAAACACGTCCTCGTCCGCGTCGTCGCGCGCGGGGATCTCGTCGTCGTCTGCCGACTCGGCGCGCGATGGCGCCTGCTCCTCGAGCGCGAGGCCCTGCAGATGCGCGGCGAGTCCCTCGCCGGGGCGCATGGCCAGGCCGGGCGGCCACACGGGCGGCGCCGCGGCGGGCGGCACGAGCATGGGTGGCTCGCCGCCCTGCATCTGCAGGCGGATCTGCTGTGGCACGGAAGGATCGCTCGACGATTCCGAGTGCGAGCGGGCGTTCTTCCTCGCGCCGGGCTCGGGACCCGCGGGCGGCCCCATCGGCGCCGCTGGCCAGGGCGGCGGCGCGCCGGGCGGCAGGGCCAGGAACGGGGGGAAGAAGCCGTCCCACGGGAGGCTGCCGGGCACGAGCGGCGGCATCTCTGGCGTCGCCGAGGCCGTGCGGTGCAGCGAGCGCGAGCGGCCGTGGTGGTGCCGCTGGGCCGCGGAGTCCGGCGCGCGCGTGAGCTCGTCCTCGCGCTCCGCACACAGGTCGGCGAGCAGCTGGGGCGCGCGCACGCTGCGGTTCGCGAGCAGGCGGCTCGCGCGCATAAACTCGCCGCGGATCGTGTAGAGGCCGTCCTTGGTGACGGTGCGCGCCACGTTGTATCCGCGCTGGAACGGGTCCTCGATGCACAAAAAGTCGGCGGACCAGCCGTGCGTCTCCTTGGCGACGAGACCGCCCTCGGTGCGCATGGATATCGCGTCGCGCGCGTAGTGAAAGTCGCGCGAAAAGTAGCGGAAAAAGTCGAGCAGGAGCTCGCCGACCGACTCGGCGTTGGCCGAGTGCCATGCGTGCGCTAGCGCGTCCATGTTGTCGTAAAAGTACACATTGTGCCCGCCGAGCATGACGTCCTCGCGGGCGAGGGGCGTATCGGACGGCCAGCGCTGCAGGTTCGGCAGCACCGCCGGCTGCTTGACGTGCATGAGGAAGAAGAGCACGAGCAGCGTGTACCCGTACGACGAGAGCGTGCCGGTGAACGGCGAGTTGAGTTTCCGCCGCTTCGCCCACACCTTGAGGAAGAGCACGAGCGGCCGGAGCCGCGGCGGGTCGAGGCGCGCGTACGTGAGCAGCAGGTGCGTGTTCTCGAGGGCGACCTCGTTGTTGAAGCCGACGTCGCACGCGATCTCGTACGGCACGTCGTGCGTGGGCGCGCGCCGGATCTTGATGATGGGGATGCGCGCATGGGGCAGCGACAGCACCGAAAAGTCCGTCTCGCGCCGGACGAGCGCGCCGAGCTCCTCGACGAGCTGCGAGGCGGTGCGGCCCTCGGCGTCCGGCGGGATGAGGCAGCACAGGTCCATGTCCGAGTATCGCAGCGCAAAGCCATTCGCCATGCTCCCGAACGCGAGGAGCCGGGCCGCCGGGTGGATCTGCCGCGCCAGCTCCTGCAGCTGCCGCCGCGTCGCCTCTTTCTGGCGGTACTCGTCGTCGGTCGGCGAGAACGGCGCGAGAAAGGCGACCAGCGCGCGCGCCATGTCCGCGGTGTGGCGCTCGTACGAGACGGAGCCGCTCGGTGGCGGGCCGCCGTCCGAGGCACCCCCCGGGTACGGCGCGCTGCGCGCACCGCCGGCGGCCACGCCGGGCGCGCCCGACACCGCCGGAGCGCTTGCGTCCTGCCCAGGCTCGTCGCGCGAGTGCGAGGAAGGCCGGCGCGTCATCGACGCGGTGGACCCCACTGGCGCGCTCATCGGCCGTCCGCCGACAGTCGTGAGGGAGGGCAGCACGCCGTGTGGAGAAGGGGCCTCATGGGCAGGGTATGCTATGGAGGTGTGTGGCTGTGGCGGGCCGGCGGGCGCTCACGCCTCGCGGAGCTCGCGCCGCAGCAGGGTGCGCTGCTCTTCAGACACCTGCGTGAGTGCGCGCGACGCACCTTCCAGTACTTGGCCTTGCCGCTCACGTACGGCTCGACACGCAGGTTCGCCGGTCGATCCGCGTCGGCCAGCAGGCGCTCTGCGACGCTCGGCGCGGCTGCGCGGCCTGGCACCGGGGCTTCGGTATGCTGCGTGGCCGGGACGATGCGCGGAATCGCGCTCGCAGGGAGCGGCTTGATGTGCAGGCAGCGGGCCGCGCTCGCCTTCATGGTGGGACGAGGCGGCGGCGGCGGCGGCGAGCGCTTCTTCTTATATCACGTGACATGTACCGGGCCGCCGCCGCGCGCGGCGCACAGACAAGGGCCGTCGCTGCGCGATGCTGGCGCGCCTGCTGCAGCACTGCCGCGATGAGGTCGCGATGGATGGCGAGCAGGGCTCGGACATGGAGCGCCTCTTTGGCTTCGCGGCGTCCTACTGCGCGGCGTGGCCCGAGGACGTGCGGCCGCCGGTGGACGACGCGTACCGCGCGTTTCTATGGCGCATGCTCATGGAGGACGGCAGCGTGCACGTCGGCCTCGCGGCGCCGGACGTGAAGCCCGCGCCGCGCGAGAAGAGCGCGCCGCGCCAGTCGATCCTCGCGAAGGGGCGGGGCAGCAGCGCAGCGGCGACGCCGCGGCCCCTGCCCGCCGGCGCGCCGCGCGCCGACCTGCGGGCGCTGCAGCGCATGCACGGCGCCGACCTGCGCGTGTACAGGGACGCGGACCATGTGCGCCGCACGCTCACCGGCTCCAACGCGCCCTTCGTGTCGGCCGCCGCGTACGAGGCTCTGCAGCTCGTGTGTCGCGCGCGCGAGCGCGGCGTGACCGTCGTCGAGCTGGGCGCAGCGACACAGTACGACCAGAAGACGGTGTACTACCTCGTCAAGCTCCTCGTAGAGCGCCGCCTCGTCGCCAAGTTCGCTGCGCCGGAGATGGGGCACGTGTCGAACTATGTCGTGGCGCAGCGCTACCTCGAGCGCAATCCACAGTGGCGCGCGCAGCAGGACGCGACACTCTCGCAGGAGGACGCCGATGTGGGCGAGCCTGCGTGGGTTGACATGGCCGATCTCGCGCAGGACCACCGCGGCAAGGACGACGACGAGAAGGAGTCGAGCGCGCCGGACGACGCCGCCGGGCCGAGCAGCGAGGCATGGACCATGCCGCCGCCCACGGACCCGCACGAGCACGAGATGCTCGCGTTCGCCCCGCTGTCGGACGAGCAGAGCGCCGTGTGGCTCCACAGCCGGCAGGACCTCCTCGCGCGCCGCCTGTGGAAGCTGCTCGCCGCGTCGACGTCGCACATGACGCCGCGCCGCTGGCTGAGCGGGCGCCTCGGCCTGCGCCCGGTGCCGTCGCTCCGCCGCGGCTTCCTGTCGTTCCTCAACCGCCATGTGGCCGCCGGCCACCTCGAGCGCGTGCGCGTCCAGTTCGCGAGCGCGTCGCCCCTGTACGTGCGTGCGACCGCGGCGGGCCTCGCGGCGCACTTTGCCCTGCAGGCCAGCGAGACGGAGCCCGAGACGCATGCGCTCGACGCCTTTACGCTGCAGTGGGGCGCGCCGCTCGAGGCGCAGCTCCTGCGGCACATCCACGCGTGCGGCGCGCACGGCTGCACGATGCAGGAGCTCGCATGCCACTTTCACTTTTCCAGCGACATCAAGCGCATGGTCGAGCAGATCCTCGCGCGCCAGGTGCCCACGGGCCCGCCGCCCTACGCGCCGCTCGCCGTGTGCGCGCCGTTCGAGCAAGAGGGCCGCGAGCGGCGCATCCGCTACTACACCGCCGAGGGCTTCGCCGCGCGGTGCGCGCGCGATGGTCTCGATATGCCCACGGCGCTCGGCTACGCGGCCGGCCGCGCAGGGTCCGACATGCCGCCCGTGCCCGAGACGCTCCCGGGCGAGGCCCTGTACGAGAGCGCAGCCGCGCTGCACGCTGCGCTGCAGCAGGTGCCGCAGCAGACCGTCGGGTTCTTCCGCGATGCGCCCGGGCCCGTCGCGCTGCGGCCCGCGAAGCGCAAGGCGCCGATCGATCCGGCCACGGGCCGCGCCAAGCGCGGCCGGCCGCGC